ATACTTACTCTGGAAGGGTAGAAACAACAAATTCTTACTATTTTTTTCTCCATGTTAGCAGGTATAAGCTATTCCTTTGGTCATTGACATAGCTGACACAAACTAAAAGTTGGCAATAATGACTGTTATAAACCAATTATATTACCAGTGCCCTATGTTACTTTTTTAGTCCTATTCTTTGAATGTTGAATACAGTTTTCTCCAACCAAATATCTTTCATTTATGGTATTTGGCTAAACTTTCATAAATTTCATCATTATGGTAAGCTGACGGGAATTGTGGAATTTACAATATGGAATTTATAAGCCAACACTTGGAAGAGCACTATACTGGAAATAAATGAGTTCAGACAACTTGTTGCACTACAGTATGGTTTGTTTATTTGCTGGTGTCGGGTTCATCCATCATGGTTGTTTAAACTATGCCAACTGTGATTTCTTGAATAAATCCAGATTTGGTAAGTGTGAAAATAGCTAATATTAGAGAAGAGTACTCAAGTGGGGTTCTCAGCTATTACGTGAAACTTGAAATAGCCCAAGAACTTTGTAGAACAAATGTTGCACATACTAGCAAGTTGCATTTCTACAGACATCCTGCATGTGGGTTATAGTGAATACAAAGTAGTATCTATCAAGAAATTATTAGGTTGTTGAAGGGTGAAACTAATTCATAGTTTGATACAGTACACTCTCTGGTTAGATTCGAAGCTGTGTTGAACCATGACTTGTTTAATCATGTTTGACTAAACCATACTAGGCCATAAACTTACTGTTTATAAGTCATAATGCCATGGAAGCCAGGTTCATAGATGATTTGGTTAATATAGCATGTATGTGTGTTTTGATTTTGGGTAAATGTCTGAATTCCACAACTGTTTATCATCCAAGTTCCATGAACCACTACAATTTATTTGAACATAGTTAAATCAGAACAATGAATGAACAGCCTTTGAAGTAATCTTGTCAATAAACTTGTTAAAATCAAAAATGGCAAAAACTTGCTTCTTAATATTTTGATCATTTGTCTTGATTTTATGGGATTATGAAAGAATTTATCTAATACTACAGATGTTAAGGCAGTTTAACTAAAGCCTGTTTAAAAATGCATTTAGTTAAGTATTCTTAGAAATGTTTATGAGGAAAACAAGCTCCTTTAAAATATGTTTTAGAAGTATCCATGCTTAGTACTGAAATTAAGCAACTTTGTTTTTCAAATTATATTCTAAAATCTTACTGTAGTTTTTTATAGAATTGAGTGAAGAGTTTAGTTGTAGATAAAGTTGCTTTTTTTTCATGGATAAAGGGAACATGCCTGCTTATTTGTTTTTCTTATAGCAGGAATTTCCATATTAGACATATGTCTACAGGCTTTAAATTAGAAGAAGAATAACTGCAATATGTAATCCTCTACATATTTCAATCAACATCCTGTTCTCTGCTCTTAAGGATATTTTGGAAATATTTACACAACATTCTAAGTCAAAACCAAAAACTCACTTTATAATTCTATATGATGTGTTAACTCATCTGATCATGAATTATTAAGTAAGTTGTGTTTAAACAAATAATAGGTCAGTATTTTATATGAATCCAAGCCCTTTATGGATAGTGTCTGTTACATCTTTGGTTCTTCAGGGATTGAACAAAGTAGAGCTTTGAAACAACAAACATGTTTATTAACTCAGAACAGAAGCAGCCCTAAAGGCTGCTGCACAGCTATTTATACAGTTAGCCTCTAGGTGGCAACCAAAGTAACAGTTTCCTGCCCCAAACCTCATTAGCAGCTTGGAGACAGCCAGTCTGGCTTTCAGTAACAGCAACTGTTAAACAATACAGCAATGTAGGTCAGACATTAAGCAAGTGATTTAAAACAGTTGTGGCCAATACACTACAGTGTCCATCTGCGCTTTTAAAGAGCTATTCCTCCTCTAATCTCCCAGCCACAAGTAGAATACATATGGGCCGGTGGCTGCATTCATATGGTCTGTATAAATAATACAGACATCATAAATTTGAAGCCTGACTTCAAGGTAAATCTCAGGTTCTCGAAAGGAAATTGAGATAAAATTTAAGAACTTATACAGGGGTCTAATCTGCAACTTATAAATACCATCCTTAATTCTATTTTTACATAAATTCAGTTTTATGCATATATTTCATAAGTATCTCTAAATTTTTAAAGGCATGAATGCAAAGTGTGCATTGATGAATATCCATCTTATGCAAAAAAAATCAAGGCTTTTCAGAACAACAAGTACATAAGGTCTGTAGCGCTGATCAGAAAAATTCTGCCTTTTAACCAGTTTTCATGTTAATTTGATGAAAGAGAATTTGCCTTAGTGATTTTTTTTTCCAAATTAAGAACATCAGAAATCATTTTGGGAGGAATATGATAGTCTTTTGCTTATTTAGATAAGTGGTAGCTAAGAAGTATGCTTAAATGCCTCATCTTTCATTTACACAGCAGACTTTCTAACAGCCTCACAGGTTTATCACACTTCCATTAAATCCTAAGGAAACCTATAACCAGGAAACCTATCCCATGAAGCTATTCAGTAGTAGGCAGGGGTATGGGTCTTGACCTAAAATTCTGTGAAACTTTCCGCCAGAATTTGCTACCCAAAATTTGGTAGAGTTTCAAAAAGTCATTTGTGCCAAATTATAAACATCCACATGGCAACAGCTCCAGAGCCATTAAAAAAAATATAAAGTGTCTTTATAAAAACAGTTGTGTTGAAAACCTTTCATATTCTCTGTCTTCTGGTATTTTGCATTATGCTAATTGGTAAGGAGATGATATTGTCATAGTTCCTCACTCCTTGGAAGGCACCACATTGGAGAAAGCAGACTTTTTTTAAAAAAAAAGCTCTAGACTCCTGGACTTTATTCTTTGGAAGATACACAGGTATCTGGCTCAGGTTCCCCAGTCAAAAGCCTTCTTTGATAGTACTGTACCAGCTTACTTTTGATACTGAAAGTAATATATTGCTCTTAATGATTTTTATTTTTCCTGTTCTATTGTGTCCAATAATTGCAGACTGTTCGGATAACTTTCTCCAGTTTTCTTGACAAGGTTTTTGGGTTACCATTGCCTCCTTCCTAGGACTGAGAGAAAGTGACTGGCCCAAGGTCTCCCAGCTGGCTTAATGTCTAAGGTGGAACTAGATCTCATAGTCTCCTGGTTTCTAGTCTAGTTCTTTAGCTATTTCCTCCTAATTTCTTTATGGTTGTCTAGGTTGGCACACCCCATTATTCTTGTAATAACAAATCATACACGGGACAACCATTCACAGCATGAAGAAAGCCAATTTCCTTTCTTTGTTCAGAGTCTTTCATCTTTCAGCTTTTTTTGAATATTATGAAAGAAGTGTTCTTTCACTAATCATTGCTCAACATTTTTCAGAACTATGTCCAATTGTATAGTCATCTTTGCAGACATGGTTTCCAGTGAAGATTTAAAGCCCAGTGTGTGATGAGCTCGACTTGTTTTGCCATTTTTTTTTTTGCTGAAATTGCAATATTACTTCCAAATTATATCCACTGCAATATTTCAGTCATGGAAGCCTGGGATCAAGGAAATGTTTAGGGTAGAGAAAGGGTTATGACTTTGCTAACATATAACTGTTTGATCAGTTTATTTCTACAATAAGGTTAGGCTTGTTATTTACTACATCCCTAGACCCTTTCTAATATGCCAGGATAGAAAAAGCTCTAATAGGAGAGAATATATGTAGCTTAGGGTTGAATTGCGGAGTCCTTGGTGCTCTCTGAGTTTAGGTTCTTGATCTCTCCTTTGTGGAAACATAGTTCCCCTCCTTTGGGGGAAGGACCTGGAGGAAGATCTCACTGGAATACCATATTGTTTGAATATTTTATTAAAAGCACACAACTATATCAAGCACATAAAACTTTAATTTGCCTATTTGATTCATACAAAGACTCCCTTGATCTAGTACAGAAACGTTAGCAGCACTTAATGCTTCGGTCTCAAAATAATTACTGTGAATATAGGTAGTTCTCAACTTACAACGACAATTGAGCCAAAGATTTCTGTTGCTAAGTGAGACATTTATTAAGTGAGTTTTGGCCATTTTACAATCTTTCTTGCCAGTTTTAAGTGAATCACTGCAGTTGCTAAGTAACAGACATAAATATGAGTCTGTTGCCAAGTGTCTTAATTTTGGTCACATGATCATAGGGATGCTGCAATGGTCCAAAGGGTGAAAACCAACCTGTCATTTTTTTCAGTGCTGTTATAACTTCAACGGTCACTAAATGAACTGTTGGAAGTCGAGGACTATCTACACAGCGCTATCAAGTTTACTGGGATTTATTTCTTAATGAATACATCCAGAATTGACATTACTGTACATTCAGTTGTGACCATGGGCAAAATTTGTAGTTTTCCACTGCTGTTGTTGTTAGATCCAGCTTTTTGATTTGGGACTTCATCTTAATGAGAATTTTAAAATCCTCTCTGTGCAATATACCTTTATAAATTTATTTCAGTTTTTCCATTCATTTTACCATTATTTCTGATGAATCACAATTTACCTGTCCTTCACTGCTAGGCTAAAATGTGGTTAAGTTTATGGTTCAGTGTGTTTCTTTAGAAGGTTCTGCACAGGACTACAACTCTGGAGAACAGGATAGGAAGTTAGATCTTACATGACGAAGGAAGAGCAGTTTTCAAAGACACTTGGACAGATGAAATCAGTGCAAGGAAATTTTCAGGCGAATTTTCTTTTTTCATTTCGTGAGGCTTTTATTGGTTTTTGATCTGCAATCCGCCCCTGCGCAAATCATTCTCGAAAAGCAAGCGGAGAGGTCCATTCGTACGTACGTGTGTGTGTGTGTCAAATGCAAACTTTTGTTTGAATAAAAAGTTTTTCAGGCGTGCAACTCGCACCTCCTTCTCCAGGACTTGTAGCTTCTGTTTTTGTTCCTGCCTTGCCGAGTCCCACCTTCCGCCTGTGCCCCCTCCCCCGCCTTTCCGATTATCTTGGGGAGGGGGAGGAGATCCGCGCCCTCCTTAAACGGGCTGCCCCCGCGCTGCACTCTGGATGCGCGGAGCCGAGCAGTCACTGGAAGAGGCGATCTGACGTCAGCCGGAGAGGTAGTTTCCAGGCTGAGCTGTCAGACCGTATAGCAGGTTAGGTATTAAAGGCACATCTAACAGCCCCGAGACCCCTCCTCTTGAACGGCCTGCGCGCACACAAAGAAGTCCCATCTCCTCGTCCAGCCAGGATCCAGCAGCATCAGCAACTAGTGCTCGCCTCGACCAAGGCTTTGGAGACGAACACTGCCGGCAGCGAGGCCAGGAGGGGAAAGGGGGGCGGGAGTGGGAAGAAGCGCAAGAAAGAAAATGAAACCGTCGAGGAAAAGTAAGTGGTCGGGAAGTTTCTGGAGCGTTGGGGTTTTCGTTCGCTCTTCCCTTCTTTGACTGGATGAAACCCATTTGGGTTTGGATCGCCAAAGCGTGCAGGGAGCGCTTGCAGGCTAAAAGCGTCTACAGAGAATCAAGGCAGTGCAGCCCGCTTCTGTTTTTGTCAAAAGCACGCGGGGGGAAGTTTCGCGTGCGTGTGGGCGTAGAGAATAGAGCACCTCCTGGAGTGACCGGGTGTGTTTTTGTGTGCGCGACTGTCTCCGGCGCTTGCAAAAGCTACTCAACTTTGCCAAAAGTAGCGCTGGGGAAGAAGCAGAGATTGAAAAGCACGAGGGAGGAGGAGGAGGAGGAGCGGGAGGGCGACGGAAAAAAATGCCTTCCAAGCACTCAACTGTGCCGGGGGGCGAGGGAGCGAGGAGGGGACTCTTTTGTTCTGTCCCATTTAGTCCGACGGTGGAGAAAAAGCAAAAAAAGCAGATCCAACTTTCTACACGCAGAAACAAAGGCAAGACTCTACGACCACCTGAACCTCGTTTGCTTCCTGTAAAATAACTTTCAGAGGCTCTTTTTCTTGTACTTTTACGTGTTTTTCTTTTCTCCTAATCCCAAAATGGCAACTTTCCCAATTTTCTCTTTGGCAAACTCCTCCTCCTCCTACTCTCTCCCTCCCCCCACCATTCGTATTTTGCTCTCTCTCAAATCACGAGTTTTTGGATATGATTTTATTTTCTAGAAAATTTGTTTTTTTTTTCTCCTTCCCCCTCGTTGGTTTGCCCAGCTTGTAGAATGACAGCTGGGGCAGGGGGGGAGATGCGTTTGGTGTAAAACCGGGGTAACGCGTGCGGGGGGGGCAGGGGGTGCAAGTTCCTGTTTCTTTTGGAACAAAGAGAAGTCTGTCTCGGCATCTGTCACTCAGAGCAAGAGACACCGAAGGAAACTTTTTGTGTGCGCCTTCCTCAGTCCGCTCTTCGCTTCCAGTCCTCGGGGGCCCGGGAACCCTTTCATCCGGGAGAGAAAGGTCTCGGCTAAGCCCCAGCCTTGCCCCTCGATCCCTCCATGGAAGGGCTTCGGAGGAGGAGAGTTGGGGGTAAGAGCGGCGATGTAACAGGCAGAAAACATGGAGTCCCGGTTTTGTGCGTGCGTGGAGAGAAGGGTAGAGATTTAAAGAAAGGGATGGGGGGGGGGAGGGCTGAGCCGAGGTTATTTTTGCATTCCACTTTACTTTAGCCCTTTTGGAAGCTCCTGCGCCTAATCCTTGCTGGAGCCACTGCCGCTGCGCGAAATCCGGGAGTTTGCAATCCTGTTTGCAAAGCGTGCGCGCTTCTTACTCTGTAGCAAACTTCTGACATCTTGAATTCAAACGGAAGAAAAAAGAATGTTATCGGTCTGCCCCCCCCTTTCCTCCCTCCCCCTCAGTTTCTTTCCGCCCCTCGTCGGGCTGGTTTCAATGGCATTCCCTTTGTGTAGGAATGGGCACGGCGGCTGCCGCTTGTTGCCGTTTCAACTTCCTTTCTGCTGGCTTTTGGTATTGGTGGGTTGTCTTGGTTTGTTTTGTTTTTGGTTGAAAGTAGGCGGTTTGGCGGAAATATAAGTCGATCAAAAAAAGGGGGGGGGCTTTCGACCCGAGTCTCCTCCGTTCTTCCTGTATTGTTTGCATTTTTACTGGTTTCCCCCCTCCGCGCGCTTCCCCCCCCCCGGTGGGGTGGATTGTGCCGTTCCCATGTGCAGCTGGTGGTGGGTAGCTCAGGGCTAGGAGGAAACGGCAGCGAAAAAAAAAAGGCACCTCCTCCTCCATCTCTGATGAGTTACAGACTTAAAACTGAAGGGAGAATGCCTCCCTCACGTACCCAGCCACTCCTCTAAGCCCCGTGGCGCTCGGTTGCCTGCAGGAATCGGACAAGGATCCATTTGCTTTTTTAATTAGGCACAAAGTCTTGCCATTTTCCCTTGGGGGGGCGGGAGGCGAGAAAGAGCGAGAGGGAATCGGGTTTGCATTTCAATGGACTTGAATTTGCCTGCTGTTTGTATGCCCTCTTTCTGGGGGTGGATCCCGACGTGTTGATAGTTGAATGCCTTCCTCCAAACAAACTCGACCACATGTCTGGAAAAGGGCAGTAAGCTAGCCTTGAGTAAACTGAAAGTCGATTGTTTCTGTGGACCATTTTTTCCCCCTGTGTAGGTTCTTTCTGTTCTCCCCCCCCCTTTTTTTTTTCTTTTTGAAGTGTAGAAAATGCTCATAAATGTAACAATCTGTACTTAAGGGAAGAAACTTTAAGAACAGAATGTGTTCAGCCTTCAACATCCTCCAAAAGCAATGTGCCCTTTAATATCTTAATATTTGGGTGATGGTTTCAACAAACACTAAAAACTCCAGTGGGGCTGTGTTTCTTAAAAATGTTTTAATGAATGCATTTTAGTTCTATGTAGCAATTCCAAGGATAAATACACACAGAAGAATGGGGAGAAAACTTTTGGGGGAATAAATGCTCCTTCCTCAAGACTGCCATAAAAGGACCCAGTCATTGCACTGGATGGTTAGCTGTGTTGAGTTGTTAAAAAAAGGGCAATATTTGGAAAAAAAAGTTATTAGTTTGCTATAGAACTTCTATTTCTAAGCAAAGAAATTGCTAGTGCTGCCTCTTAAGGTGTTTTGTATTACAAAAAAGGTGTGATTCTGACATTTCAGAACAGGGACACAAAAAGCATTCTGCGTGTTTGATAGACTGGATGGATCGAGTCATGATGCCTAATGGTTCCTTGACATCATTGATAATGAGATTTTATATCCTATTTTATCAGAACACAAGGCTGCCCAGAAAAGCATATGAAATTAATATGCCTTCTCCCATGTGCTCCTTACATATGCAGAAACTGATCACACAAGGATGCCAATTTTTTTGCATTTAACATACAATTCTGATACTTTCAGGTTTGAACCAAGACAAATCTGCCAACAGTTCCACAATGTCTGACAGTGACTTTGGGGAAGATGATGGGAGCATTTCTCAGGACCCATCCCAGCCTGGCAAGAGGAAACGAAGGGGCAATCTCCCCAAAGAGTCTGTCAAGATTCTGCGGGAATGGCTGTATGAACATCGGTTCAATGCGTACCCTTCAGAGCAAGAGAAACTCAGCCTTTCCGGGCAAACAAGCCTCTCAGTTCTACAAGTAAGAAATTTCTAATAGGCTTTCCCAGAATGTGGCTTTGAAATTAAGGCGGCTGGGGGGGGGGGAAGATGGTGGGGACTGGGAGGAGGCTGGCAAGATGGAAAAACTGTTAAATAAGAGCTGGGTTTTATGCTTTCAAATCCCTAACACATAACTAGTTGGTTTTTATTTAAAATCAAACTTCAGAATTTTCATACAGATTTTTGCCCTGCTTGTTTTCTTAAAAGGTTTACGGCTTATAATTATTGACATTGGATCTGAATCCAATGGGTATTTTGAGGGACAAAAGTAATATTTTTTCTGCCTCTGTAATGTTTAATATATCTTTGTCCAGTTTTGATATTTCCTAACTAAAATAGAAGGGAACTTGCTTAGGATATAAATGTTAGAAGAGAAGCAAGTGTTATAATAGTTGTTGTGTTTTGGTCTAATACTTAATGGTTTCCTCATTGAATTGACTTGTTTGTTGTCCAAAATAAATCTAAGGATGGTGCTGGTAATGAATTTATGATTGGGATGACAGAATATCTTAAGACTCATTAGCAACCCTGTACTAGAGTCATAATGACACTGGAGGAATTAACTCCTAAACTGTCCCTATAGTACTTTAGTTGTGATGGGAAGCTAGTAGAGAATGTGGTTGAATATTCAGTAATATTTCCAAATATAGTGTCTACTGCCAAACTATTCAGTGACTCATTAAATCATCAAACATCTGAGGCCCAATTTTCCATGAAGTGGGATATTTCAAGCCCATGTCTAGATCTAGTATATAAGATACGTCTATTCTTTAACCCTGGTTAGGATTTCAGTGTCACACTCCTCTATCACAAGTCCTCTACCAGACCAGGAGAGGTCAAAATGCTGTGGGGCAGAAATATAAGCATTGATTGGCCTGTCTTTGCAGAACCAGAGACATTAGTAAACTTTCTTGTTAATGTTGCCTTTAAAAATGTCTTCTTATGATCTGTGTGACTGGAATGCACATTAGTGGGGAGAATAGATGTCTGTGATGGGTTTTTTTTTGACCAGCAAGTAATTACAAGAAATGTTTGGAACTAAATAAGCAGATTTTATTTTATGCCTAGCTATTTAAGGTGTGACTTAGCCTTCTAAGGCCATATTAATTACAACTGTACATGATTCAGTTTTGAAGACAAAAAAAGTGCTATTGAGTATATGGGAGTGTGAATGTAGCACCTGCCTGCAGATAGGCAACCCATGACAAAGGATGTCTGCTTTAAGGAATTGTAGAAAAGTGCTGGTTATATTCACTTGCAAGCTCTGAACCACAACTTTTTCTTTATATCTGAAGCACTGCTGTACATTTTGTGTGCTTTCAAAACAGTCTTGCTGCTGATGACTGCTTAGACAGATGCATGCAATTTTCCTGGGCAATATTTTTGGAAGCAGTTTGTTATTTCCTTCTTTCTAGGACTGAGGGAGAGCGATTGGCCCAAAGTCAGCTGGGTTCATGATTAAGGCAAGCCTGGCATTCACAGTCTCCCAGTTTCTAGCCTAGAGTCTACCATACCAGCCTGGCTTTCAAGCCTTGGTATCAGGATGGAATTCAACCAAATAGAATAGCAGTTTAAGCACTTTTAAATGGCTGATGTTTTGCTTATCCTCTTTCTTTCTCCTTTTTCAAATACATTGTGGCCTGAGATTTAAGGTAGCAGAATGTGACCCTAAATAAACTATTGGCTGAGTTCTGGCAACCAATGGGCCAAAGATAATTCATTTTATTTCCGTATGGTAAATTTTTCTCTTTGTCTGATTACAATGGGGAGGAAGCTATGTAACTTAGAAATTAGGGGAGAATGCCAATATAGAAATCCAGCTGCAATGCAGAGACAGCCTCTGAATATCTGATCTGAATTTAGCTTCTTCTTTTTCTGAAGGCTTGCCTCCTCCTGCTTGTGACCTTACATTTTAGCAGCTATGTGCTGATTTTCAGTCTCTGCGAAACAAACCTCAAAATAAGCAGAAGTTTATTGAGTAATAAGGTCCTTTCGAGGCTGTTTTCAAAGAGTTGGCCAACTTCATAATAAACAGCAAATTCTGTGGTGGTTTCAATCTAGTGATATTGAGGATAAAAAGTCATGATACCTTGTAGGATAGGTGGGAGCTGGCAAAATAATAAGTGTACAGTTAAATTTTCTGTGCTGCTGTACAGCTTTTCAAAAATAAAGCTAAAGTACATCTAAACTCTGAGCACAAGCTTTGGAAATTATTTTAAAAGCATTTTTTCAGATAACTGGATATTTTAATTGTCTGGGTTTGCGCTGGAGAAAGTGTCTTAATGCCTCATGAATGAACATTGGTTTGATCTAACAAAGTAGAGATGGCCCCACATTAATATTGATGCCTAATGGTTATGTGGATGCATCCATGTAGATTTCTTGCCAGTAGTGAAGAAGCAATTTGTCATTGCCTTCTTCCAAGTATTGGGTTTTTTTTAAATTTCTTAAGCTAGTCCTGGAATTTTCAGCTGCTTCTTGGTCTACTTTTGTGCTTGACTGGTTCAGAATCCAATGTTTCTGCAAGAATAATTGTTTTACTTATTTTTATGCTCCAATTCAGTAATAATTACATTTTCCAGATTGGAGTGGACAGTAGCACAGTTTTCTTTCGGATCAGATTCTAATGGTGTGGGAGAACAGGTTTCGTTGATGGAGGAAGAAGAGGGAAATTTCTCCTCTTCCTCAAACACCCCCCACTATCCAATCAAATTTCTGTCGCTAAACATTGTAGAGTAGATTTTGAGAGTAGAGTGAGGATTGGGCAGGAAGGACAGGAGTTACAATCCTAATAATATGAGCAGATTTAGGATTCTTCAGCAGTGAATTCAGTCTTTGGTGCTCAATAAACATATTACCATTTTGAATTCTAGGTGAGATGGCAGAACTCTTAATTTGTACCTGCTTTTTTATTGTTAAAGGACCAACATGGCTAAAAGAGGAAATAAATTGAGCTAAAACCCCAAACCAGCTTAAGCATTGCTGAACAGAATGGTTCAGGCTCCTTTCTTGAAAAGAGAGTGGGAGGCTAAGTGAAACTCCTAAGGGAGTGCATTCCAAAGATTGGGAGTGATAGAGCGGAAAGATTGCTCCTTCATGCCCCAAGAATAGCCTCCGAAATCTGGAAAGATGCATAGCAAGATAGGACAACTTGTTAGATAGTCAGGCCCTAAACTGTAGAGACCTTCAGAGGTTAAAACCAACATATTGAATTGTGCCTTAATAGCACTCATCAACCAGAGAGGTCTCACTATAGAGTATAAGATGATCCCCAACTCATTTAATGCGTTGGCAGGTGTATTTTGTACCCATTGAAGTTTCTGGACACTTTTCAAAGTAACTAACTGCAGGCACTGACAATTATTTGATGGGAGACCCACAAATTAAAATGCTTCAGGCATGGATTGGTATATTACCAATGTATCAAGACTTTATTTCATCCTTTTGCAGTAAAACCTTTTTTTTTTTTTCCATTGAAGAGAAACTGGATAGATCATGGCATTAGATCTAGCAGTTCCTAATAGATTATTGCGGGAATCCAGTACTTTAAGGCTGTTCTGTCAGTATTAGTCATATTATACTGGGTTATAGAAATTTGCAATTTATAAAATAAAGGGTGGCCTACTTCGTTCGTGGTACAGATTTTTAGGGTAGCTAAACTTTTATGAAGAGCTCTAAAGGAACTTTCCAGACTGGTGAAATACATATAATCAAGGCAGGTACAGTTAACAGGAAAAAGTGTTTGCATTCTGTGATATATATACAGATAGGATGTGAAATGGACTACTTGACCAGAAAATATATGTGGTGGTTGTGGTAAGTATCTCCATAAAAATATCAACCACAAAAAGGAATACCATCATCATTTTGTTCAATAGATCTGTAGTGCAGGATCACTTATGTTGGCTAGAATTATGGTATTTCATCTCAAAAAGGGGCATTTTGGGAACTGCAAAAGATAGCATAAAAGACAATAAAAATGAGCATCTTTGTAGAAATCATTTGGAAGGAAGGAAGGAAGGAAGGAATAAAGGAATAAATTTCTCCTGCAATGTTAGCTTACTTCATTTGTATTCTACAAGCCCGATAATAGGATATATGGGTAGTGAACAGAGCATTCTCCTTGTTATGCAAAAGGGTAAAAATATAACTCTAATTTAAATTTGACTTTCTATCATAACATCCCTAGAATGTCTTAGCCACAATCTCCAATCCTGTTGCAGTGTGGACTTTATATTATTGTAAAATTTAGGATGATTATCTCTAGCTTTTGGCATTTGCAATGAATAACCTTCTCTAGAATGAAGTTTTTGTAAATTTGTTATCTTTTCTGCTGTATAGTTGGAAAGTATAATTATAGCCTTGGCTATGATAACGACATTTGCTTTCTTTTCATTTTAATTCTTTGTCTCTATGAAAAAGATCTATTGGAATTGCAAATAAATAAACAAAAAGATGGAACTGGCTTAGGTATATATAATGCTATAATTTGATTTGTTTAATTTTGATTATACAAAATGCATAAAGTCCACTATTTAATATTGCAATTTATATTTCATGGCAAATGATCCCAAGTTTCATAAACCATGGTTAAACCACAGCTTAAAATAATGTGCAATTAGGGCTAAATTAGCTATTTCAAAATGTATAGTTTATATTGGAGACTTAAAAATTGGGCAATATTTGAACTATTTATCGAATTTAGCCGCCACCCATCTCACTATCTAAGTGACTCTGGGCGGTTTGCAGATCAAAAGTCATAAAATCATATAAAAGATGCAGTTAAAACAAAATTAAAACCAAATGACAAACAGATAAAAGCAAAGATAAAAGATAAGTTATGCTATATTTATGCCAATTGTATTACCAGATTCTTAGCTTTTAGCATGATAAGCAAGAGCTAGCATGTTTAATTTGTATTATTCTAGACTAAACTAGTAAAGCAATAGCATTAATGATTTATGCTACTTGGTTTGCTAG